CTGTGGAGAAAGGGAGCCCTCCTGCACTGCTGGTGGGAATGTAGTTTGGTGCAGCTGTTATGAAAAACAGTATGGAGATACCTCAAAAAAACTAAAAATAGACTTACCATATGATCCAGCAGTCCCACTCCTGGGCATACATCTGGAGGAAACTCTTAATTGTACAGTTCAGTGGCATTAAGTACATTCACGTTATTGAACAGCCATCACTACCCCCATCTCCAGAACTCTTTTCATCTGGCAAAACTGAAACTGCATACCCATTAAATACTCTCTCACCATTCCCCCTTCTCCACAGTCCCTGGCAAGCAAAATTCTTTCTGTCTCTACGAATTTGATTTTTTCTGGAACCTCATATAAGGAAACTTGTACAGTATGTGTCTTTTTGTGACTGGCTTATTTCACTTAGCATGATGTCCTCAAGACTCAACTATGTTGTAGCAAGTGTCATAATTCATTTTTAAGGCTGAGTAATACTCTGTTGTATGTGTCGACCACATTTTGATTATCCATTCATCTATTAGTGGGCATTTGGGTTGCTTCTCTTTTTGGCTATTGGTTAATAATGCTGCTAAGAACATAGGTATACAAGTAACTCTTTGAGACTCTTTTAATTATTTTGGATCTCATGATTTCTTGAATTTTCTTTCTTGATGCTTCTGTTGTTTTCATGGACTCTTGTTTTCCTCTTTTGGCCATTTACCACCCCTCCCCCACCAGCTTCTTTGTCATTTTCCTAATAATGTCCCCCGTCCAGATTCTTGCGCTTCAGTGTGGCACTCACAGAGCTGCTGCTATGTGGAGAAGACAGTTTGGCAGCTAAGAAATATTAGTTGTTCCCACCTCCTACACACCCACCAATTCCTGATATTTTCTGAAGACATGCCAGTGGTTCCTAAACTTAAAAAAAAAAAAAAAGTCCTAGTGATAGGGCAGATTTTTTTTGTGGCTGTTGACATTGTGTATTTTGAAATTTAACTATTAACTGTAGCACTTCCTGATGTATCAGTCCTACAGTTGTGATATTGATATCTATTTATTTTTCCTCATGAAAACAGTATATGACAATCACAGAAAACTTGTATAGAAAAAATATTAACACACAGTAAGCACTGTCTAAAGGCAGCCAGTATTAACATCTTGATGCATGTTCCTCTGCTCTTTTTAATGTGAATTTTTACCTATTTAAGATCATACTGTTTTGCACCTCTTTTTTGCACTTAATAATAAAATGGAAGCATTCTCTTGTTAGATGTTTGTAAATACTTTATTTTATATGACTAAGAAATGTTTATAGAGTGTTCATTAAGTTAAATAATATTTTTTCAATTATAAAAATCATGTTTCTTACAGAAAATGTCAAATACTTCACTATTACAAAGAGGCAATGAAAAATCTAAGTCCTTTGGCCACCCCTTCTTAAGCTTTTTAAATGTATTCTTTTCCAGTTTCTTTTTTAGATCGGCTTCTCTGCACCCCTCGCCATTGGTCTGTCCCTCCCTCCTTCCCTCCTTCTTAGTTTGCTTTCTTAAGTAGCAACGTTGATGTCATACATATATGTACAATTTTATTTACAGCATTTTCACCATGTTTTGTAATTTCCAGTGTCATTAAGTATTCTCCCAAAACCATTATTTAAACATACGAATTTGCTGTAATTTATTTAGTCACGTGCCTCCCATCACCTTTGGATGTGGAAGCTGTTTCCAGTTTTGTGTTATTGTCCGGTGATTGTATGTATGTCCTTGTCTGGTTATCTTCCTTTGTATCTGTGATTGTTTCTTCAGGAGGTATTTATAGGCGTGTTATCAGTCAAAGCAGGTTTAAGGCTTGTAAAAAGATGTTGCTGATTTCCTGGAATTCACCTCCCTTCACTTGCTTGGCTCTTCTTGCTGTCCATCTTTGTGAATTTGATCGGTGAAAAAAATCTTCGTGTTTGCTAGTGAAATTCAACACTTTTTCGTGTTAATTGACCTTTTATATTTTGGAGTGAGTAGTCTGTTAATATCTTTTATGTTTTACATTTGTAATAATATAAGGTATGTTATCCTGTTTCAAGTCTTCTGTTTTTTATTTACCATTTCAGTTTTGTCTGCTGCTTTAAGAGCCGCAGATTTTAATGTTTTAATGTTGTCAGATTGATTCGATAACCTCGCCTTTCGTTACTCTTTTCATTGCTTTTATAAGGCTAAGACTTCTCTTACTATCTCAAATTCAGAAATACTTTCCTCTAATTGTTTCTTTTTTTACCCTATTTACATTTTAATTTAATCTCCATGAAGTGGGAGCTAATTGTATTTTTTCTAGAGTATTATCTCGCTCTTATGTTTGTCCAGAATCCCTGTAAAACTGTGATGTGAACCAAAACAAGTGCTTTTCCTTATTTCTGTGCCTTGATTTCCCCACTGGGAAAAATGAGGCTGTGACATACCTGTGGGAGGGAGGAGCCAGGAGGAGGGACTGGTTTCACGTCAGAAGCTTCACCCCTCAGTCCATAACTTGCTCTGCCTCTTCCCAGCTCGGGAAATGCGAGACCCCTCCCAGGCTGTGGGGGACAGAGACAGCAGCAGTAATAAGGGCCGGGGGCCGGCTGTGAGCCCAGAGTGAGCCTCTGTAAGTCTTGACCTTATTTCAGTCTTCCGTGACTGAAATAAGCTACTGGGGCTCAGCTTGTTGGAGACTTACTTGATTATAGATGTAAGGCAGCATGTGTTGACAAAGAGCCCTAGCCTAAGAAAGTCAGAAATCTTGGTCCAGTTTCAGCTGTCAGTCAACTCTCTGTGTAACATAGGGAAGTCTCTTCTCTAATTTCCTGATTTATAGAACACGGAATTGAGATGAACGCTCTCTGAGATTTGTTCTCAACAAATTACGGTCCCGGCAATTGACAGAGCTGGGTTGTGCTACAAATCTGTTGGGGGACATTTCTTGGTAACTAGTTCATCTTTCCTTGTTATTTCAGTCAATCAGTATGATACCAAGTCTAGTATCTATCACACTATCACGTAATGCTCCACCTCGGACAACTTGTGCTTCTTGCCTTCCCTAACTGTTCTTAGTCTACCTCCAGCCTCCCTTCTGAAAGGCTTCTGTCTTCCCTAAGAATCTTTTTAAGAATTAGAGGTAGACTAGCTAGTAATGAAGAAATACTCAGAACTCATTCTTGTCGCTGACCTTGCCTGACCCCTTGCCCAGAGCTGTGACATTAATTTTTTTTAAAGGCTGAAATAAAAATACGAAAAGCACTTGGACAAATGTGAAGCCTTAAAGTGATAAAAGTAATAGCTATGAGGTACAGATACCTGCTCTCAACCACGTTAATTGTTTTTTATTGGTATTAATAAATTATTGAGAAACAAAAAGCCGTAGGCCAAACCTTGTAAATTTCAAGCTGTTTATGTTAACCAACTCTGTTTTAGAAAACTAGCACTGTGTCTTAAGAGACAATGTCTTAAGTAGTTTTTGTATGGTAAAGTCATCAATCAGCCAATCCATTATACTTACTAAAGTGTTTTAACATTTACCTCCCACTTTTTGATTTCCAGAGTGAGTGAAATACCTCAGATGAAAATTTCTATGGTGTTGACATTTTCCTCTTGAGAATGTGTTTGCTGTAATAAAATACAGTTAAAATCTGTAGAACTTGTGTAAAGTCTGGGCAAACCCATTTTTTCCTTTGTGTTCTAGGAACACACAGTACTGTATATTAAATAGAGCATAAGCAGTTATACATGGCTGCAACTGATATTCTGTATGATTACAATTATGCACTTTTTCATCTTCAAGTAACATGAAAAATAGCGTTTAAAATGAATATGATGGTCTTCACAGAAACAGTTTCTTTATTAATTAAACTTTTGTTTTTCATCGTCCATTGCTTTGATCTCATAATATTTTTAAAAACGTCCTGAGGGCTTATTTTCAAGGCTTGCAAGTGAATTTTTATTTCTCAAAAGCCGTAATACATTCACGGCTCGATGAATCCCAAAGACAGTATTTTTAAACTCCTGTTAAGTTTGTTTTTCTTAGTGTGCTAGTCTCCTGCATAATTTTCTTTGCTCTACGGGTCACATGATTCCTCCCGTCCATAACACACGCACTTAGAATTTTCACTTCCTGATTGAGCCATCAAGATTATGTAAAATGTAAATCAGTCTAAAATACCTAAGAGCAGGAATTTTAAGGGGAAAATGCTGTTTTCTTTTTCTGTTTCATTATTGATACCTAAAAAAATTGGAGTGTTTGCCTGTTTGTATTTGGAAACTGGAGACTTGTTAGTTTTTTTTTTTTTTTTTTTGGTCCCTTCCCTTTCAGATTGCATCAGACTTTGCTTTCATTATAAAAATAAAGTACCAACTAGATAGACCGTAGGAGCGGTGTAGTTGCAGGACTGAAACCAGAATGGTTCCAATTCCTGAGAGATCTGTTCACTTTCTTACTATTCTTTTCATGATCTGAATGAAGAGTACAGCATCTCTCACAAGGTAACGCTTTGATATTTCAGAGTTGTAAGTGGCCATTTAGCCCTTCTGCTGCCTGATACAAATGAAAGTAATTTCCAGCAGGCTGGGTGACACTTGTTTTATCATGGATCTTAAAACCCCTCACATTTTCTCAAAGCAATTTTGAAGTTGTCATAGTAACAGCATGATTTTTTGGAGGGTCTTCCTAGTAGTTCTTTCGCGAGAGTTAATTTTATTAACTCTGTATGTTTTTCTTTTTATTCTTCTCTGACAAACAAGGGCCATAATTGCTCAAATATGTATTTCGCGTTCTTAATTTCTTGGTGACTCGAGTCTGAGGACTTGACGTTTTGCAAGTTGTTTCAGGAAAGGAACAAGAATGTTATCAATTGATTTCAGATAAGTTAAACTTTAGTTTTTAATTACTTCTCTGTAAAATTGCACTGTCATTGTCAGACCAAAATTTAGTTTTATTTAAGAGTTGAGTTACAGGAGATGTTCCCTCAAATTTAATTGTGGCTTACACAATTAAATTGTGTTACAAGTATGCTCTTTTATAAAATAAATTCTTCTAGATCTAGAATAAGAATTAAGGAACACAGAAGAGAAATGTGTCAGATTTACAGGAGAAAATTATTTCTTTAAAAATACAATGCTCAGCTACAACACCAAAATCCTGTTCCACTAAAGAGAGAGAAACGGACAACTCTGACTTCGTCAACATTAAAAATGCTGCAACAATATTCTCTGAAATTGTAAAATATGCTAAAATAAATTATCCTCTAGGAAAGTTTGTGGGGAATTTTTTTTACTGGGAGAAAGTAGGTCAGGATCTTCTGTTAGTAAATCTCTGTGGCAGAAATTCTTGCCAATATGGCGAGTGGTGAGAAAAGAAGCCCTTCTCTTGGGCAGGGAGAGGGTCAGAAAAAAGAATGGTCTGTACTAGGTCTGGATGCCAGGACTTAAAAAAGGTATCAGATGTTCGATACGTTTGTTTTCTCATAAAACTGATCAGAGAGATGTGACACGTGTCAAAGGTATCACGTGAGTTCTGTGGGTTTAATGCTAATGCCAGTGCCCCTACTGTTGTGTGGAGTATTTGTTTAACCAGGGGCGATTCAAGACAGCCGGGTGGCAGTGTGTGCAGCCAACAGCAGTAAAGGTGCTAAAACACATCCAGTGATGTCAGGAGTTACAAGACAGCGGTTTCAAAACACTGCAGTAAACAAGGTCAAAGTGTCCCGTTTTGCTGGAGGA